TCAGACGAGTCTCGGAGCGTTGCGCCACGAATTGAAAACTCTTGGACAGATAAAAAGTACCAAATCTTAATGAAAAACATCAATAAATATGTTGACAGCAATTTGAGCAATTCTTGATCATTTATTTACACAATCTAGTTGAATTTATCCGACCTTCGTCTAACAAGATCAAAAATAGGCCAAAAGTAACCAGTCAACTAACTATGTGCTAAATAAAATAATCGACTGAAAAGCTGGCTCTTGGAAGGCGAAGTGTAGTTCTTTTTGATCTTCGAAGGATTTTTTGGGGAAAGGGATTCAGTACGGTTTCATCAAATTTTAAAGTTGGATAAAATAAGCTGAGTTGATGGTGCCGTCAGTTATTCGAAAATGTACATATTCACACGGAAACTCAATTTTTTCTCAATTTACATCCAATCTACAGCTTCTTTAACATATAATATCATCTAACTGTCCATATCGTTGTATCACAAAAGGGGATTGCAGTCCTAAAATTTTTGCATTACTCCCTCAATAGCCATATAACTTGGCAGAATAGTCAACACCTCCTGGTAGTAACTGTTTACAAAGCGTATCTCGGGGTTTCTCTTTTCTTATTTCGTTAAAATACTTCACGTAAGAGATCTTTGTTTAAATATAAGTCTACAACCGAACCGTGAAGCAAATGCTTGAAGCGGAATGTTGCTAGTTTAGAAACATGTTTCTCGTTTGCGGAATAACGCTAATTAATTCAAAATAAGGTCTTTTGAAATAAAACACAAAAATAAAACATTGGACTATGAAGCACGTGGCTACAGGAACTAAGGTCGGGTGTTACATATAAGAAATAGGACCAAACAAATATCTCACTACGATCATAATTAAATGTATCAATTGAATGTTTCATGGAACTTCGATGGATAAAGCTCATTTTAGGACAAAAAAAAGAGTGAAAGATCTGCAAAGGGCTTAGTTATGCATCACTGCAGGTGTGCAACAAAGAAAAGTGCAGTGTTTGAATATTTGTTTAATTAAAAGAAGTTCTACAGGGTTCAAACCTGGAGAACCACAACTTTCGCTGAAATGTTTATACCAGCCAGCGTTCAACAGCTTCATATTTATACCACTTCTTCCCCAGAGGCTACTGTGCCCTGTTAAGTTACTCGTGCCGGTAAAAAGACTACGACCAATGTAGCACGTTCACATTATTCGCACTCATCTTTTCCCGGCAGCGGTCCAAAAACAGCTCACGTCTCGGAAATAAAACCATTTCTGCGTATCTCGGAACTCAAGAAACGCTTCGAGCAATCATTGCACCAGCTGATACAGCAGACTCGAGTGCGAGTCGGTGTACTTACATCAAGTACTTGCATTTTAGAAACAGCGGCTTTGGAAAATCCAATCAACTAGTTAGTTATTTAGTATTCTTGCCCAAGAAGGTAGCCAAGTGAGCAGTGATCTCAAACATTGTCGGGTCCAAAGCCATCAATACATTATATGACGAAATATTATAGAGCGTAGCCGATGCGTAATGACAAATTTAACGAAAGCCTGATGTCTGGTCAGACCAGAATGTTCACGGCCATTGGGAAAAGACTAACATCTGGAACCAGGAAAAAGAAAGTAAACAAACCCCGTTGTACCTATCTCTTTCATCTTTCCCTCCAAAGATGATAAATTTAAGAGGTAAATGACTACTTCTCACAGAGGTCCAAAGCCAATCAATGCATTATATATGGCGATATATTACTGAGAATGGTTTGATATATCGGAAGGAACTCTGCGCCCCGAACTAGAGCCTCTCGTCGACCCCAAACAAAGCTTTGCACTAAGCGAAGGACAAATTGTCGTGGAATGTATGTTAACAGGAGGAGAGAATTATGGCTCCTTGGTTAAGAATTAGGTCAACTTCGTCTTTTGGCCCGGAAAAACTGAGACTTTTGGAATTGCTCTGAAACCACCTTGAACAGGCAAGAAGAGGTATAATTACTGTTTCCCATTTCTGGATCCTTTATCGAAGTCACAGTATACTCTTACTACTTGAACGAGCACCAAATATCCTTGTAATGACAACGATACGCAATGCTGTTGCAGAGTTCACATCTTTTCTCTGCAATTCGTTTTATTAGTAAACGAAAATGCCAGTTTCAAGGTAATTTCTCTAATTAATTAAACAATCAATAGATAATAAAATAGTAAGGAAGAGAACACAATTACGATTCAATCTTTCAGCGTCTTAAAGAATACTTATAAATTCTTTAAAATGTTTAACTCTAGATCTATTCATGGCAATTGTCATCTCGACCGGTTCCTTCTTACACAAAGTAAGCAATGTTTCTATAGATACTCAGAGTGGTTTCAGCAATTAACGATAAAACCCCTCTGAATTTCATGTAATAGGTTTGACTGTAACTCATTTCGAAAATAACATACCTTCAAGCGAAGAAAATTAAGTAAAATTGCAGTGAAGTTGAAAACTTATCAACAGTAAAATTGTAATAATGTAACAAGCAGTGGTTTTAATCACCGAATTAGGTCGATCTTTCGTTCTTTTTGTCCTAAAATGAGCTTTATTCAATTAAATAATAATTTACTAAATGAAAATATAAACTGAATAAGGATCGGAGTTAAATAATTGTTTGCTTCACAGTCTAATGTCGTACTTTTGCGAAGTTGTCGATTTTCAGTGGACCTAATTTTGAATTAATTAGCGTTCTTCCGCAAACGAGAAACATGTTTCTGAACTAGCAACATTCCGCTAACTTTTGGTTCGCTATTTGGTCAAAGACTCATATTAAAAAAAAATATCTCTTACGTGAAGTAAATAGAGAAACCCTTGAGATACGGTTTGTAAACAATAATTATCAGGTGTTGACTATCCTGCCAAGTTTTATCGCTATTATGGGAGCGATGCAACAATTTCAGGACTGCAATCCCTCCTTGTGATACAGCAATATGGACGGTTAGATGATACTATGTTAAAGAAGCTGTAGATTGGATGTAAACTACGGAACAATTGAGTTTGTGTGTGAATGTGTACATTTTCGAATAACTGACAGCAAATCCGTCAAATCAGCTCATTTTATCCAACTTTAAAATTTGATTAAACCGTTCTGAATAGTTTCCCCAAAAAATCCTTTGGAGATCGAAAAGAACTACACTTCGCCTTCCAAAAGCCAGCTTTTCAGTCGATTATTTTATTTACCACATAGTTAAATAATGGGTTACTTTTCGCCTATTTTTAATCGTGTTAGACGAAGGTCGGATAAATTCAACTCAATTGTGTAAATAAATGATCAAGAATTGCTCAAATTGCTTACAACATATGTATTGACATTTTTCATTAAGATTTGGTACTTTTAATGGGTCTAAGAGTTTTCAATTCGTGACGCGACGCTCCGAGATTCGTCTGAAATTCTGAGCTTTAAAAGTGGCATTTTGGCGAAATTCAGTTATCGATTCAGTTCTCAAAAATAAATCGATATTCAGCGAAACGAAGTATACCGTGCCTTGTTTCACCATAAAACCTATGTTAACTTGAGATATGAGCTGAATCGATTCTTTGGCTGTTGACACTATATCTTGAAAATGTTCGATTTTTGGCCACATTTGCTCTTTAAGATCGACCATACCGGCTTAGTCATTCCATCTGGCGCAAAGTTTAAACCGATCCGCAGCAAGATGAAAATACGGGATTTTGAAGATCACAGAAGAGCCGCTTTCTAAAATGCTCTTGCAGACGAGAACTGGGATGACGTGCTTCTCTATTCTTATGTGGATGAGACGGTTTGTCTTCTGGAAGAAAAGATTAGTGATCACATGGACAGGTGTATGCCAATGTATACTGTTTCCATCTCGTCACGTGACCCAGCATAGATGACCCCTCAACTAAAGTCAATAGTTAGAACGAAATCTATTAGGGGATTTCGCCCCAGAAAATCGATCGACTATGTACTGTTTCCATCTCGTCGCGTGACCCAGCATGGATGACCCCTCAACTGAAGTCACTAGTTAGAACGAAATCTATGGGAGGATTTCACCCCAGAATTTTGATCGACTATGAGACATCAACAGACGAATATCAGAAATCATCTCCCAAAATAAGAGAACGTATCTGACAGCCACTGCAGGTACTTGAGACTGGTGGAAAAGCATTGACACATTGTCTCAGCGGCATAAACCCTCAAAAGGTGCGTTGATGAATAACAGTACCCTCGTGGAGTTGAGTGAATATTATTCCGAGCTCTCTACAGATACCAACTAAATAGAACCAGTACCGAGTGTGATCAACAGCGAAATTCTAATTCCAGAAGTTACGGAGACGTAGGTGTGGAACTCCTTAAAATTCGCTCAAGAAAACGGCCACTGGACCAGAAATGCTTTAATAGTGGGTCTGGAAAGACTACGCAGAGATATTCACGCCACTAATCGGCAACATTTGGAACCTATCGATTGCTACTCAGAGCTGGCCATTGTCTTGGAAACAAGCGCACGTCAACCCCCCTCCCCCCCACCAAAGTAGAATTACCAAAGATAATGGGGACAATCGTGGTAATAGCATTACTCCTGTTATAGCTAGGGGTGTTTGAAAAAATAATTCATCGCACTTATGCCCAAGAGGATAGAGAAGAACATCGTTCTCCCGCGCAATTCGCTTATAGGAAGGGCGCCAACTGTACGGGTGCTTTATTAAACATGCAGCGCAGGATATACAGCTGGATTATCATTGGAAATCAACACGAAGTCCAGTGCTCTTGATCAGTGCTTCGACATCCTTTACTTTTACTTCTGAACTTGCGGTAATCGCGCCTGGAATCAATTACATATAGCAGGAATCGGAAGGTACACGTAGGTCAAAATTGTCGGGGTGACATTTTAGATTAACTGCAAATTTAATTGTCATGTGAAGAACAAGTTGGAAAAAGCAAACAAATGCCTACATATTTTACGAACTTTGCTCAAAGAAGGGTACAATTAATCCGCAGTCGATTATCTATTCAAAATTGTGGTTCTGCAAAATTTTCTATACGCCCTAGATAATTATGGTGCCTTGGAATCTGACCTCTCCACTGTACCATGTTTCCTTTATGGCTGTTTTAAATGAAAGTTCTGTTCTAAACATATCAATGTTCACAACCTTCTAGAAACACATGATCGTAACCTTTTCAAGATAGTATCTAACACTGTAAATCATCCCCTCCTGTCTTTTCTACCTAGAATCAAATCTACCCATTATAACCTTAGAGGGAAAACCTCTATAAAAACCTAAGATCAATGCGGTGCGCTTTATGAGTTCCTATGAAAATAGATAAGTATTCAAGTTAAATATAATTTAGTATCAGAGAGGGGGGTCTACATCTTTTATACTTTGTAAGCTTTAGATTTTAATTTGTTACATAGGAAATGTGCTTTTATCCTTTGATCGAATTAAGACATTGTCATTATTACTATTATTAGGTAGTTCTACTTTACTTTTCGAGCTCCAGTAACCAAAAAATCTTTTACTTTTGTAGCAGCCAATCGTATAAAACCTGCTTTCTTGACTCACTTTAGCTCCTCTACAACTTGTTCTAGCTCTTGATCCACTTCGTCCATCCTTTGCTTTCGAGACTTAGAAGCATCTTGGTATTCTTCAGTCAAAGCTTGGCGTTGTTACTCAATCTTTGCCTCCATTTCACAACGTAGCCTTTCCTTTTCTTCTTGGTGCTTTGCTTCCATCTGTTCCAGCATCTCCTTTTTCTCCATGGTAGCTCGAGTTCTTTGCATTTCCTCATCAAGTCTTCTATCCTCTTGCCTTACAACCAAGTCAGAAAGCTTCTTTATCATCTTGAGGGTTTCCTCGTTGATTTTCTGCATTTCCAGGATCTGATTTCTAAGTTCCTGCTCTCTTTCTTTCTGTGCTTGTTGCATGTTTGCCTCCATCATTTTTTTCATTTGTTCTCTATGGGCTCGAAGATCATTATCCATCTGCTCGCGGAATTTCTTTATCTCCTCTTGCATTTCACGTAGCATTTCCATCTGTCCAAAAAAAAACCATAATCAACAAAAGTGCACCTCAACTGTAAAGGTTATGTTAACTGTTAATAACTATTCGTCGAAGGAGAAGTGAACAAAGGCGGCGGAACGTTTTTAACCATGGGGGCGAAGGGGCTATCTTTCGATGGAGAAATTTCAGTATTTGGATAAATGCTAATTGAAAGAAATATTTACATATTAAGATATATCAGTTGGTTTTTTCCAGTAGTTTAACTAAACCCAAAACTCCATGAAAAAGCCGGTGAAATTGACGCCTACTAAATTAACCGATGAAAACCAGGAAGCGAACGCTGTCCTATCACTACTATAATCAGGCTGCCATATATAACGTTAAAGAACGAACAATCCATGAGGATGAATGCATCTGGAGTTTTACAAGGGAATCGGTGAAGGTTCGAATTTATTAACTGGTTGAAACTTAAAAAAAAAAAGCGCCGCTCTAATTTCATCTTTTGCACCGCTGGCAGGCTTGTGGTAGTCACCTTTTATCAGACCATGTTTTCCAATAATCTCATGAAAGGAAAGCTTCGGGCTCCTTCTTTCCTTTGTAGTTGATGTTGTACTGTGTTGAAGTGCTTTTTGAGCTTTGCGAGCAAGTTGTTGCAGAATTCTCTGGTCAGTTTGTCATTCTTCTCTTGCCATAAGGGAAACGTTTAATTCAATGACTCCTAAATCGAGCACTGCGTTACAGTATAACGGGAAATTTAACTGTCAAGTAGACCGAATTGATACCTAACCTTCATATTTTCCAAAAACTTCTCAATCGTGTTGATGGATAGTCCTTTAGTGTCTACCTTTAAATGGGCTTCACTGTTCTCCAATACCATTGCATGATTATTTCGCAGTCGGTCATTATCACACGGCAGCTTATCCTTCAGTTGTAATGCCATGGTGGCTTCATAAGCATCAAGTGCATATTTCATTGCGTCAGAACATTTCGTCTCCAAAAACTGATCCCAGGCGTTCTGAACATTCGGAACCATACCAGGGGTGTTGATGGCTTGGACGTAGAGCTCTACCAGTGCTGCAAGGCCTGATTAAAAGAACTGTTTGATTTGTACTTGTTCTTACATGTTTTGTGAGTAAAGAGTAAAGCAATCATCCACTCTTGACTAAATTTGTATAAAATCTACCATTCAAGCTTTTTTTCAGTGCAGGGTTAGAATGTGCCATTGTAATTTTTAGAGCTAAGCGTTTTCAGTTCAAAGTCTCGATGGAGCTGTAAAGTGCATCAAAAGTGCACAGCGAGTAACTGTAAAGCTTTTCCTTTACCTTCTCCAGTGACAGATTCTCCAACGTTAATGCTCTTTTTGGGGAGCAGAACTCGCCTTACCAAATCTTTAAAATCTTCCATCCCACTGAGGAAAGAAGGATTGATGAGGCTTTTGTTGGCATGGATACTTCTTAGCACCTCGATGTCTGTCGTGGGAGGAGGTAAAGCGAATGCTTCGAAACCGGGAAAGAAGCTCAAGATGCTTTCAGCAACTTTCCCACTTTCTTGGCCAACAACTGATGAGTTTTGGACTTGAAATAGCTACCAACACAAAATATGCAGTTTTTGAATGAGATAAAAAATATATAAGGCAAACAAAGAGGCAATATTTTGACAGTTTGAAAGTTATGGTTGTTTTGCTTTCAATCAGACAACCTTTTATTCTTCCTTATGACATGTAGCTCAGCTAAATTTACCCAACTGGTTATTCTGTTGACGTTTCTGAAATTGCTTCAATATCAACATACCCTTGTGATGGGATGTCTGGTTCTCTTGACATTTCATTTTACCATTTGTATTCATGAGTTAATAAAAAAAAACTGAGAGTAAAGTTTCTTTCCCTGGACAAAACAAAAAATCACATTGCCTAACTAGGGCTAAAACTTAGCCTCCCGACCTGACTCGTCAACCAGTGGGCCATAACGTTTCTCTGATGTTCGATTCGTTACTGAGGCAACACTAGATTACAACAGCAATGTATATGCACTATAGAAGTGATGTCATTATTATCATCATTATTGATTATACATCAGCCATAATTCTTACGTAACAATTTTCGATGTATGGGCGTTGAACATACAGGTTCGGACGTTATCCGATGTGGAGCAAGAGTTACTGAAAGCTATAATAGAACAAACCAGCCTTCATAAGACAGGATTTTATGCAATTTTTTACGTGACTGGGAAGTGACGAATGATTTTATGGTCATTGTGAAAAATTTCAGGGACTCATGAACTATTAGGGACCTTAAGATTTGAGGACGGCGTCCTCTTCTAGGACTTCACGGCATATAAAGGCGTGGGGAGAGAACGCCGTTCTTTGTGCGGGAATTTTGACTTAAGAAAAGGTAAACCAGACGCGAACTTTTTGCAGCACCTGGTCGAGAATAGCGTCCTTCAGGAAAGCGCGGGACGAACTTCTTTTAAATTTTTGTGAGGAAATCATCAATGAGGATGAATTTCTGTTGTTGTATGATGTTAACAAGTCGAAAAAAAATTTCGGAACTACGAAAGATTTACATTGCAAGATAAAAGTCAGACTGAGTGTAAGACAGATTTTCGGGTCCAAAAATACGACATCCTTCTCTTGGTTGATGTTCTTCGCTTACCTGACGAAATATGATTAAAATCCTGAACTTAGCTGGTCTCTGATAAAGTATAAAAAATAATGTAATGGAGGCTTTCGAAATGAGTGCGTATTATTTGTAGTGGGATGAAACTTGTATGAATAATAAATATGACAGTCTTAATTACATGAGACTCAAATCACTTTAAAGGTAAGCCGTGAAAACAAGCATCTCCAATATATATATATTCTCAAGTCGCGGAAACGGCATAAGAGTAACCAGTAAATAAATCGGTAAAACATGGTAAACAGGAGGAAAATGTATCGACACTTCAAAGAAAGATCGCAGCGCTCGAAAACTTTTGATTAGTCTCGCTGTAGAAACTGCGATTTTGACTTCTGATTATAACTACACTCTACTTACATCAGCCGACCTCTCACATGACATAATAAATTGATGCTCAACATGATAAATTTTTCCATTCTCTTTAAAAGGAAAACATGTGGAGTCTATCTCTGAAAAAACAAGAACTGTTAACAACAGATTATACAAAATAACAGCGAAAACGGCGAAAGAAATGAATAATTTCAGCTCCAAAACCAAACACATACTCACGTTTTGTGCACGACGCGAAATTTAAAAAATGGCGTACTCACCACGTGTGAAACGCCGTCCCATTCACACAAAGACATGCGCAATGTCATTTTTTGTGAAAACGAACTTCCGTTGGCGTTCTAGCAGGTGACGTCCTCAAATTTTAAGGTCTCTGTTATCTCGAATTAGCCCCCCGAATTGCTGACTATATTCAGTATTTATTTCAGGATTTAAGCACCAAACTACCTTTTTCAGAAAGTAGTCCTTAATGTCGATGCAGTCTCTTGGAATGGCTTGAGTAACGTCCCTAAGTAACCAAATGAAGAAAGGAAAGGTCTTATGGAAATACTCTGAGTCACGATGGTTCCTCCTGGTATCCTGCCTTGTTGTTGATCGCATCTCAATACGTTGAGATAGTTTCGCAATGAAACTGTACACGTTAAAGAAAAATAAATATCCATATTATATGCAAAAAAAAAAAAAAAATCAGCAAAGTAAAGTTTATGTACTTAGTTTCGCCTGATCCTCGAGTGCTTTTAATCAGTCTTGATCATAGCAGAAACCAAAACTGGGTTATTCTCATCTTTTATCTAAAATTCTTTCTATATATATTTCAATTTTTGGTCAACTCATTACCATTACGATGGGAAAAGGAAATTTTTCTTTAAAGTAAGGGTGATCAATTGGTGATATCTGATTTAATAATACGCTAGCAATAATTGTAGCACCTCATTGGTTGAGAACAAGTCAATCTAACCCAAACAGTGCAGAAAGAGTTGAAATTGAGAGCCGAACGTTTAAATTTACTTCATTCACAGATAAGTCGCGAAAGCGCAAGAAAACAGAATGGCGGAGTTTGATGGAGAGTGCTAAGAGCAAAAATACCCAACAAAGCACAAACAACTGGCTGAATGGGTGGAAGTCCTGGGCTTCCAAAACCGGGTGAAACGGAAGTACTGAGCAGCACAAACCAGATTCTCTGGGAAAAATTCGCGAGCTGTTCAGGGAAAATTTCATAAGACAGGGAAGATTGCGATGCTGATAGTCTTCGTGAAGGGTTGTCTGATATTCAATTAAGAAACGAAGAAAAACGCTCAATTTTTTATATATGAAAGGCTAGAAGCAAGTTCTTGCTGGAAAAGCCCAACTCATATATCTACGAAATGAGAAGGTTATTTACTGCAATTTTCGGGTGAAATCAACCGTGGCTCCAATAATTTCAATATGGCACAATTGAATGTTCGAAGCTCGCGAAGTAAGATCATCGGACGAAATCAAACTACTACTTAAAGTTGTGCCACTTCGATATTTTTGCAATAACTGAAACCTTCTCAGACGAGAGCAAATCAGACAAGCAAATACATGTGGATACCTATAAGACTGTTAGAAGAGACAAATACGGGACAGGATGGAGGTGGCTGTTTTATTTACACTACGAATCATATTTGTTATTCATGGCTCCAATCCCTGGAGTGTCCCCATATTGAATTAATTTGGATAAAAATTATGCTTAATTCGTCTGCGTTGATCTTAGGTAATTGTCATCGACCTCCTTCTAAATTCCAGTCCTACAGCATATTTCATGATTGTATTGAGAGAGTGTGGGTTAGGCATAGGAATGTGATTTTCGTCGGGGATTTCAATTCGGACCATTTTGGTAACTACGAGGGTGTTACATCACATGGCGGTGGGAAATTGCAAGACATATTGCAGCAATTTAGCTACAGCGCAATGAACATTAGGAACGAGCCAACAAAAGTTGCAAGTGACACACAAACCCTGATTGACTTGGTTATTACTAGTAAGCCAGAGATTATCGGAGCTATTAAAACAATTGAGTTAGGAGTCTCAGATCACAAACTGGTTCTTGCCATAATATGGTCTGAGATAAAAATGCCGCCTCCAAAATTAGTCAAAGCCCGCACTTTCAAAAGACGTGACCAAGTAGCTTTTGTGAGGGATATTGAGAATGTAATTTGGTCAGCCTGCTCCGTTTTCAATGATCCGGACGATTTCTATTGGGTGTAGTCATACATATTCAATGATATCTGTCAGATGCAGGCGCCTTACAGGGAAGTTAAAATCAGGAGCGTCTCGGTACCTTGGATAACACCTCAAATAAGGCTCTCTAAGAGCAAGTACTACTTGGAACTGTTTGATAAAGTGAAGGATTGTAAATCATACTGGAGATTGGTAAATTATGCGACCAACAGCGAATCAATTGCCCCGATACTGGGGATGAGAAATGCGGATGGAAGAGTTGTTACCTCCGACCTGGACAAGGCGAACATACTAAACAAGCATTTCTCAACTATTGGCGAAAAGTTGGCCAACGAATTGACGAACACCAACTTGACTCAAAGTGAAGTTCATCTTTCTATCATCAAACCTTATGTTGGGAGCATAAATTTATCGTATGAGAGGATTGTTAGCTGAATGGCTAAGCTGAGAGCCGATAAAGCCTCAGGATCCGACAATGTATCCTAAAGCTATTAAAGTGTGCTGGTGACTCAATTCTTCCATCTTTGTTGTAGGTGTTTAATAAAAGTGCTTATTAAACAACATGTTGTCGTTACTTTCTTTAAAAGGATACTCAAGTCCTTCAAGATCACGTCTGGTTGGAACGCCTTGTGAATTGTAGATCAAAACTGAGGCTAACAAGACCATTAAAGTGAAGATCTGGTTATCATCAAGTCCTTGCCCATTTGCGGCATCAATTCCCTCAGAATCTAGCAACACTACTGTGAATTCCTGGCCTTTAGCATCCTTATAAAAAATATCTCAATTAAATCTCCATACGTCGCCAAGATAGATATCATAAATAACAAAGTAAAATTAAAATAAAAATTCTGCACACCCTGAACTTTTCCGGCACAATCCACGACCAGATTCCCATGGTTTCCGCTTCCATGTGATGCCCAAGAGGGAAAACTTGTGGTTGATTGAACGCCTCGCTGAGCACAAATGACTTTCCTTTCCTGTATGGCCCGGCTATAGACACCACACATACTGGACCTAGATGATCATTGATCACAAGAATTATACATAGGACCAGACTGCTATAAACCCTAATGAACAAAAATTGACGTAGTAGAGGCATTTTTTTAATGATATCATCCACGTTGACCATCAGGGTCAAATATTGTGATGAATAAGTTTACAGTTTACCTCTAATCCTCCGGAGATCTTCAAGTGCTTCATCCATCACATACAATGAGGTTCGCCTTTGTCCTGTTTGGATGCATTTGCCTGAACTCGAATCCCATTTCAAGTTGTTTGGTAGGCAAAGTGGAGTTGCCCTCCTGGATCCAGTTTGCGAGCCTTTTTTCCCTTTTGAGTACAAAATTTTAAAGAAAAAACTTTGCTACACTGATACAAAACAAATTCTCTTCTCCCTCAAATTTGGTTAGTGAAAACTAGAGGGTCAAAGTCTATTTATTTGGTGCGATCTTTGGAAACTTAAGTATAGGGCAGTAATGGTAACAATTTGGAAATTAATCTTGCGGAGGTTCATAGAAAGCATAGAAACTGAAGTCAACGTACTCTTGAAATCTGGACCCGAAGCTTGAGCTGTTCGTTCAACTTCAGTCTGACACAGCTTAACTGTTGATCTTCTCTGTGCTCCTTGGCTCCCCTGTTGCTCCAGAAGAGAAAGCTCAAGTGCCTTGGCTAACGCCTCGTCTTCATTTTTGATCGGATGTTGTTGTCGCCAGGACTATAATTATGGTATCAAGTGAATATTTCAATGGTTGCCTGACTCAAAAGTTAAAGGAACGAAGGAGCGAAGGGGAGAAAGAACGAAATCAGTATGAGGCGACTTTCTCTCTACTCAAGGAGCAAGATGTTTATCACCACGTATGTAATGAGATGATGAACATAGTACCAGTGATATAGAGGTTAGCAATTATTTAGTAATTGTCTATTTACTTTCCCCAGTTTAAATCAGGTGTCTGCATGGCACATAAGGGTAAGTAGTCACACAATTTGGTAGAAGTAAGCAGTAACTTTTCTGAGCCCGTGGTTCAACCTGCAGTCTGAAATGAAAATTTGCAATATTTATACATGGGAAAAAAACAGAACGAGTGCAGTTTAAACAGTGCATGCTTTAACTTTATTTACATTTAATTCAACTGATGGTTGAAACAGATTACGTTGTTTATTAGTTCAAACTTGACACGTTGAAAACGTGTAATCTGTAATTTGCATCCGTGATACAAATTTGTTTCCGTTTAGCATGGGAGCAGCTGTCATTTCAGACCGATCAGAACTTTAAATTTTTCTCCATTCATATTCTTAAACATGCTATTTTACACTTATCTACCAAAGTCAAGTGAGAATTATGTAAACCGACTTACATCCATTGCTCCCTTCCGTGCTTGCTTTCCAAGAAACTTCTCAGTTTGATTTACTGAATTAACTGTTTGTTAACTGCTGAAACACCTCAGTCTCTCTGAAATCCGATACAGAAAAACGATAAACATTCCTCTGTTTCCTTACCAACACAGTACAAGCTATAGCCTGCGTAAGTATTTGTGTTATAAATAACAATTAACTTTGATATTTAGTGTACGATTTTACGCCGTTAACTGACGGCGTTTTAAAATCGTACAATATACAGACTGAGCTAGTGGCGTTAAATCTCACAATATACAGACCGAGGTAATCGCATAATTCGCCGTTATCTGATACGCCATGGATGTGTATCCAGTCTAGCCTGGCAACCAACATCCTGGCTTACACTTAGCACTCGTTTCATGCATAGCTGAGTGCGAAACTCTGTCGCCTTTGGTTGCAATTTATTTGATTACGGAAAGTCCATCAAGTTGCCTCCATCAACTTGATTTTTTTTAAACAGAGAGAGTATCAGTGAGAAATAGGGCCACGATTGAAAGCCATCTCTTGGTAACACCGAGGCCAAAATTCTACACCACATGAAGATTCACACTAGCTGAAGGAAAACTAAATTGATCTCGCTCATCAAATCTCAACAACACAACGAATCGACGAAGTGAATCAGAAGCGAGAGTAAAACGAATAAAAGCTGTTGTAAAAAGTTAATTTTGTGCAAACGAAATTTTGAGAGAGACATACGTACCTTTAGGACTCCATCGATGACCGATTCTAATGAAACATTATTGAAGTAAAGCCACTGCTTCATTTGCATGGAAGCTTCCACAAAGGTGCTTTGTGTTGTTTGTTTTGCTTAGCGTCACGGAACTTTGTTACTAGGTCACTCGGCTCACAGTTAATCTTTAAAACACTAATTGAGAGCCGGGTGACCTAGCAACAAAGTAAGGTCTATTTAGATTACAAAGTTCTGCTCGCGGCCCGAAGTTTTGTATGAAATTTTACCGGGCAAAAAAAGACCGCTTTGCCTTTAATATATTGTGATCCACAGAGATCCAATCATTTGCCTTCGACAGAGTCTTTATTTCAATTCAGCGTTTTTAAACTCAGGAAATCAAGATCGCGTCACAATTTTCGTTCATATATGTGATCTATGTACGCGTCTGTTGAAATCCTAACCGCGAAAACAAACGGAAAGCAAACAAGGTGCGATTTGCCAAAATTTGTATGCTGTTTCTGTCTTTGACAGACGCGGGCTGCAAGTGCAGAGTATTGTTAAAGTCGATTTACGGCTTCTTTTCGGTCATAAGGAGCCCCCAGTCATACCCGACAGATCTGGTAGGCCCAAGAGAGCGACTTACGATAGTGAATTAAACGCATTTTTGTTTGGACTTTGCATCTTCATCAGTCACTTTTATTCTCACCTTTATTGATGCGTTCAGTCTTAAAAAAATTAAACGAATAAACATACAATTCATTTCTCAGAGGCCCATTGAAGACAAAATTGAGATCCCGAAGCAAAGTTTCCACCATGATAAGGCTGCATAATCCCGCAGAAACATCCGGAATGTATTCCTCAATAAAACTTTCTTCCTTGGTGAACCCTGCGCAACATTTTGGTTTGCCAATGCTATTTATCACTTCGAATTAATTTAATCAAGCTATTGTGCCTGTGAGACTTGGGGCGCGAGATCTTTTAGTTTATTTGGATCTTCAAGAGGCGTATAATTTTAGCCACACTGCTGAATTACATACTGAAGGCTTTCAGACTTTGTCCCTTTATTATTTTCAGTGTTCTGATGACGAGGAATCTGAATGGAATGAGATAACGACGCAGCCCGAAGCTGCAACTCGTTGTCAGTTTAAGGAAAAGTCAACTGACACAGTACCACGTTTTATTATCCAACTACACACCGTAGACTACACTGAAATAACGCCCGAGACGAGCACAAATATCACGCGGCATTCAGTTGAACTCCAGAGAACCGGCTGGACAGGTTTTCTCGCATCGCGCAAGCGACGAATTGGATCGGAAGTTCCGAAAAAAAAATGGTGGACAATTTTAATCATTTTTCTGACAACGAAGAGTCCGAATGGCTGGCGAATATTGATCCAAATTTATTAGATAAATCGAACGAAGAAAAGCAGTTAGACGACGATGAAATTTCATTATTTATTGAAGAAAACGGCAACACGACAACGCGCCCATTCCGTTCAGCCTCGCATACTTCTGTAACGTACTCCCCGTAAATAAATATCCTCGAAATTCCCCTGCACTGGCGTGTTGGATAATAAATGACTTATTAGACATTTTGGTGTGTCGTACCGCTGAGTATTTTTACTTGTTATTTGTATTTTGACTCGCCCTACAGGCTCGTCAAAATACAGCACAAGTCGTAAAAATACTCAGCCATACTACAAAACAAAGGGTCTAATTAACAACTATTCCACGAGCGCGCGTTGGATATGAGATGATAGATAGCCAACTCGGCGCGTAGCGCCGAGTTGGCTATAAT